ATTACAGTTTTTGCTTTTAGCTTTGAGTGGTGAGAAAACTGCACAAATGTTTGCCGTGCTTGGAGACCTGTGTTGTTGGAAAAGATTATTTTAGTAGTTGAGGAGCTAGATACTGTCCCCAATACATTGCGTTGACCTCTGCTTCAGATAAATATAAAGCACTTTATTGTCCCCACGAGTGCCATTCGGCTAGTCTCCCAGACTTAGTGTTGGTGAATTGGAGGATAAGCTTTTGGGAAAGCCAGCTGTGGGGCTTCAGTTAGCCTATAGATCTGGCTTGCTGTAACAGAGGAATCTGTATTCTGTTGTTTGGCTCTGTAGGCAGGCAGAGCGGTCACACAAGAATTTACTTTCTTTCAAAATGTTCTTTTCAAATCTATCGAAGACCAGTAGCATATCCAGTTCTTACCTTGAACCTGTTGATATCAGGGCTGTGGATCGGAATCGGAGGCGGGCAGATTTTTGCGTAAAAGGGGTAGGAGCTGGAGTCCCTGATAACACGTCGACTCTAGTTTTTGTTGGATAGTTTAAATCTGAAATGAAATTAAAGTGAATTGAAAAAAAACTTCAAACTGACTTATTATTTTTATTTATGGACTATATACATTAATAAATAGTTATTTTCCATTTTATTGACATATTACTAAATTAATATAAGCGAGGAGGATGGGGTGTGATATTTGCCATTATTGATTAAACTGATTTCTTTAGTTACAAATCTCATTGGTAAATTTAGGTAAGCAGCAATAGCAGCAAGATCTCCCAAAATTAATGCCATTCTTAGGAAGCGAGAAGGAAAATGAGCAATTTTTTTTATCAGCGGGGGGGGGGAAGTACACGCATCACAAAAAAAAAGGGGGGGATTAACCGATTGACGAAATTCAACTTGTGTTTTTCATGTCTCGAAAGCGCGACTTAGGATATGTATTAGATTTATATAAAATATTGTTCTAATATAGGTATTCTGAAACAAAATCGGCCTTTTTCTCTGAAATGACATGTCGATGTTTTTCCATATTTCGATTCTATTACTCAAATTGTGACAAATTGCCAGGTTTTCTAAAAGTAGCACAAGTAGTTTTTAAAAAAATTAGCACTCAAAATTTTAGATCCTCGATGTTAATTGATTTTGATATATATATATTTAAGACACAATAACATGCCGAATAAATACTAATTCAGAAGTCAAACAACAAAAATCAGCGTTAATTTACAAAATTTTCACAGGTCTAGTTTTCGATGGTTTTACCGAACCATCATCTTCAGCTGCAAAACCGCAAATGAACAAGATAGGAAATAAATAATGTTTTAGATAAGATAAGAAAGCCTGGACAAGAATACAAGCAAGTGGCGCCATCTGTTGGCGAAACCAGAACTAAAACATAATTTCTCTAAAAGCCGAAGGCAAATTTGGATTGGAATTAGGATCGTTAACTAGAACATGAATGTGAAATGCCTCTAAAAAATCCAGTTCTCCAATGGAAGATGTTTTTTGAATAATTTTGGCAGCAGAAAAATTGAAAGTGTGATTTTCGGACCAACAATGTTGAGCAACAGAAGACTTCTGTGTTTCCTTTTTTCTAACATATGCCTCATGATCTTTGACGCGAAATTTTTGTTCTAGTTAACGATCCTAATTCCAATCCAAATTTGCCTTCGGCTTTTAGAGAAATTATGTTTTAGTTCTGGTTTCGCCAACAGATGGCGCCACTTGCTTATTCTTGTCCAGGCTTTCTTATCTTATCTAAACATTATTTCCTATCTTGTTCATTTGCGGTTTTGCAGCTGAAAATGATGGTTCGGTAAAACCATCGAAACTAGTCCTGTGAAAATTTTGTAAATTAACGCTGATTTTTGTGTTGTTTGACTTCTGAATTAGTATATATATATTTATTAATATCTCTTTTTTTAAAATTAAACTTACTTTGATTCCTTTTTCCAGAATTCGAAATTTTAATTAATCCAAATATAATTCGCATATTTTTTATGATTTATTTTTAAAATTTTAATTTAAGAATTTTTTTAATAAATTTTTTGAATCTTTATGTAGATTTATTTCTAGGCACAGCTGTAAAAAATTAGAGTTTTTATTCAGAATTTTCTAAGATGTACATGAATTTACATATTGGAGAGTTTTGAAATTTGACATCTTTTTTTTTTTTGAGCGATAATACCGCCAAATATCGTTTACGCGCTTTGTTAAAATTATTTGAAAGTACGAAAGATGACTTTTTTTTTTTTTTTCGCCACTCATCTGCAGTGAAAAATAGGTTGCTATAAATTAAGAAGTTCACGAAGTAAATTATTCTTGGAAAAAACTGAAAAAAATACACCAAGATAAATGTTTAAATTTCTCCCTAAATTTCGCGCCAAATTTTGCAAAATTTAATATTTAGCCATAATTTCAGTCGTAAAATTATAGAAAATAAATTGGCATGTCATTTCAGAGAAAAGGCCAATTTTGTTTCAGAATACCTATATTCTATGTATAAATCTAATACATATCCCTAGTCGCGCTTTCGAGACATGAAAAACGCAATTTGAATTTCGTCAATCGGCCCAGTAGAACAGGCGCTATAGAACTGTTCCCCCCTTTTTTTCCCTGCAGTTTACATATTTGATGATATAGAAGTTGTTAGAATTTAGAAAGTTTTCAGAAGATGTAGGTAACCCTAATGTTTCACTAAAAGGAAGAATGTGAAATGATCTTGCAGAACTGGAAACTCTTTTTTTCTACACCGTATATAGCCACAAAAAAGCTACAATCTGAAGAATTAACAGGAGGCGAGAATAGAAGAATGTGATGTTTGTACTTTCTTTAACTGCGGGTTTATTGCAGAAGAAATCATTTGTTCAGTGAAGAAGAGAGAAACTAGTTTGAATGACAATGAGATCTTGCTGGGTTCAATACTTGTAGATCCAAAACACCGCATTTTGTTGGATGATGAACAAATTAAAAAGGCAAAGAAAATCATCTATGAACTTTCATTGAGGATGAAATTATTCTCAGAGCAACTAGAGTCTTCAAATCAGGACAGTCAAACTGAAGACATTGCAACCAAATCTCTATGATTCTCTTCCAATGATAAATTAGATTTTGAGAAATATTTGGATAATATTGAAAAGACGAAGAGAAAGCAAATGAAAGTAAAAAACCAAGACCATTTAGATATAAAAATGAAAAAATACAAACAAAATTTCTACACCTTCCTTTGACGAAATAGAGAAATATGATTGCTCTTGCAAGACATCTCTTTTAGAGTAATAAAAATCTATTCTGAAAAGTTAAAAGAAGTAGCCCTAACAGTAACAGCTCTTCCACCTACTCAAGTCAGTGTGGAAAGACTCTTCTAAGCTGTTAGAAAGTTCTTTTTTTTTCCTTGAAGTTTATCAAATGGGATTTATGATCCTCTAACAAAGAAGATCTTACTAATTCAGAAGTCAAACAACAAAAATCAGCGTTATATTTACAAAATTTTCACAGGACTAGTTTCGATGGTTTTACCGAACCACCATCCTCAGCTGCAAAACCGCAAATGAACAAGATAGGAAATAATGATTAGATAAGATAAGAAAGCCTGGACAAGAATAAGCAAGTGGCGCCATCTTTTGGTGAAACCAGAACTAAAACATAATTTCTTTAAAGGCCGAAGGCAAAGTTGGATTGGAATTAGGATCGTTAACTAGAACAGAAAGATTTTTATGAATGTGAAATGCCTCTAGAAAATCCAGTTCTCCAATGGAAGATGTTTTTTGAATAATTTTGGCAGCAGAAAAATTGAAAGTGTGATTTTCGGACCAACAATGTTGAGCAACAGAAGACCTCTGTGTTTCCTTTTTTCTAACATATGCCTCATGTTCTTTGACCGAAATTTTAAGACTCTCTTAGTTTGGCCAATGTAAATTAAACCACGTTGGCAAGGAACTCTATAAATACCCCAGGATTTCATATCCGGAATGGGGTCCTTGAGTATGGAACTCTGAATTTTATTGATGTGAGAATAAACAACCCGAAAGTTAAATTTCTGCAAAATATGTGCAACTTTGTAGCTAATTGATGGAAAGAAGGGAATGACAGCAGAATTTTTATAATCTCTTAAAACAAGAGTGTGCCTTTTTGTGTGTTGAGATGAGAATTTTTTAACTGGTTAATTACGAGAAATTAGCTCATCAATTTCGATGCAAGAGAAATGAAATTCGCGAAGTCTGGTTTCTAAACATTTTAATGCACCCTCCATTGGAGAACTGGATTTTCTAGAGGCATTTCACATTCATAAAAATCTTTCTGTTTTAGTTAACGATCCTAATTCCAGTCCAACTTTGTTTTCGGCCTTTAAAGAAATTATGTTTTAGTTCTGGTTTCACCAACAGATGGCGCCACTTGCTTATTCTTGTCCAGGCTTTCTTATCTTATCTAATCATTATTTCCTATCTTGTTCATATGCGGTTTTGCAGCTGAGGATGGTGGTTCGGTAAAACCATCGAAACTAGTCTTGTGAAAATTTTGTAAATATAATGTTGATTTTTGTTGTTTGACTTCTGAATTAGTATTTATTCGCCGTGTTATTGTGTTTAAATTAAAGGAGATCTTGCCAAAGCAATACTGTTTCTTAGAAATTACTAATGCCAGTTTATCCATTTCATAATAAATGCTAGTTAATATAACTAATTTGCTATGCCATAAATTTTTTTTCTGTAACTTCTATTACTACTATTATGCGAATTTATTTTACTGATCCACACTGATGACTTACCAATTGACCTCTTTTGGTGTCAACTAACATTCTTACCGACTTTCAATGTCATCAACATACTATCATCTGTGATGAAAAAGCTTTGATGAGTGCTGGTGTACTTCATTTTAATTATTTTCAAATCGGTGAAACGCTCTGCATCATTTTTTCTTTTTCTTTCCTGTACATTTAAAAGTGTATGTTTTGTTTTCTGTTTATTTTTAATGATTTGTTGTAATGTAATTCCCATTTTCTTTCTTCTTTTAGATGGCAGAAGGGTCTTACATGAAAAGCAAACCCTTGCACTATACCATAGTTCTTGCAGCTGCTTGCTTGTGTTACTACAATGCTATTCATTGTGGCTTTGTATTTGATGATATCTCAGCAATTAGAGACAACAAAGATCTCAGACCTTCCACACCTTTATCTAATATTTTCTTCAATGACTTTTGGGGGACCCCAATCCATAAGGTTTGTCATATTTTCTAACAAAATTCATAAACATACTTCATTTGTTGAAGGATTGGTAGGGCATGTATTATGAATCATTTAGGGACAATTGAAATTTGAAAGATACATACACAGCCAGTTCTTGATTTAAGGATATTGAAGTGACATCAAAATTTGCTTTTATAGCTGAAATTTCTTATAGCCAAAACTGGCTCAATATGTTTAAAACACTGAGATTATTTTAAGAGAAACCTGTAGTGAATTATATATTTTTATATAAAAATTGCCTTTTATTTGATGTCCTCAGATTTGTGATATTTGCTAATTAAGCATTTCATAATTTTGCAAATTAAAATTAACTAAGATAACTATCGTAGAAAGTGACTACAGTCAAAAGTCTTTAATCCGGACTCGACTTCGGCGATTCCAGATTATCGATTTTTCTGGATTATAGATCATCAGTTTAAATCTGGTAAGATGGCATGCAGAAATTATAAAATTAAAAATATGAAACTGTAATTTCTGAAATAAAGAACAATTATGATCTAAAGGGTATCAAAATTTATGAAAAAAAAAGCTTAATATTTATTTGTTTACTTTATTAAACATTTCTTTCAACATGTGCATGCATAAAGCATACATTATGCATAGTCGAAATTAGAAAATTGCAACCAGAAAACTATTTGATGTGCATTCGTGATATTTATAATGAATTTGATTTAAATCATATCAGAGTACATCGAGATGAAATACTACATTTAGTAATGAACTATAAGCCGAATAAAATAAAAACATCTGCCCTGGAGATAAGGATAGTGTTGACAGATCAACTTACAGTTCATTGTGCTCCGCAACGTTCCCCTCCCCCACAGAGCAGCGTGAAATTGATAAACAGATTTCGGAATGGTTAGAGAAACAAAGGATATGCCTTTATCCATTTTTTGCAGCAGTTGCACTTTTTGTTTGATGGACATCGAAACATACTTTCGCTTTGTAGATCCTTTGACAGTATCCAGCATTGGAAATTCTATTTGACATAATCGAAAGTTCAAGCTTACTTTTATAAAATTGCTCTAACATTATTTTTGACTGCGATATTTTGTACCACGATGTTTTAGAACTGTTTTCTCTTTGCTTTCCCTCCCAGGATGTTTTGTATCATGATGTTCTCACCTTGCGTTGTTTTTTCCATGATGTTTGTGTCCGCGATGTTTTCAACAGACATCGTTCAGTTTAGGTTAAGCAGGATAGCTGTAAGGGGTTTTTATAATTTTTCATGAGCAAAACCTTAATAAAGCCACTTTTTCGTAAAGAGTTTTGTTATGGATAATTCTTATGTATTTTTGTGTATAATTATTCCATGTTATTTTACTATACATAAGGTATTCTTAGTTATTATATTATTTTACTGTGATTAATGAATTCGTATTGTTCCTATTTAAAATTAATGTATAATATTTAATATTGTTAAACTTTACGGCAAAGCTCCTTTAAGTTTGGCAGAATATGTGTTACAGTTAAAAGGGCGTGGGTGTATTTCCATTTCTCACGAGTCGGCTTCTTTGGGGGTTAGAGGTCACTGCCCAGCTGCATTTTTCCTTTTTTCGCGGGTTTGAAAACACGTGTTTTGCTCATTCAGAGACGAATAGTTCTAAGGGGCGGCGATATTTTGACAGAGTTATAGGTTGGAAACATTCTTCTGTTGCATGGGAAAGAAAGGGTCTGTCATCTTGTAGAAAGTTCTTAATTTCTGAGAATTTTAGAGGCTATTTATTACCTTTTTTCTAGTTGGCTAGAGGGAGCCCAAGTTTCTTTAAGATTGGTTAAATTTTCAATTTTAGTGTTGTTTGAGCCAATAGTGATTTTGAGGCATTTCTTTGTGAGTGTAAACTGAGTTTTCTTAAGCCGTTGCACAAGAAGCAGGAATTTTTTTTAGACTGAAAGAGACCTTTTAGCAGATTTTTTCAGAGCTTGAGGGGTTTGATTCCGTAATGGTGGCCCCGCAGTGATTTTCTGGGATGGAGCGGAGGAAAAACACGGCGGCTCTTCGGGGGTCGACCGCAGTTTACAGTTAAACCTGTTTATCTCAGAGATTCTCGTTGGGGAGACCTATCCGAGATAGTGCGGGTGCTCTTCGTGTTGGATGGCAGCGATTCCTATCCTGCGGCCTATTATTTTCAATTTTGTCGCTGATATTTTTTTTCGCAATTGTGGAAGAGTCTGAACTGCTCATGCTGGAGTTGCTTTGGAAAATAATGGAAATATGGAAAGTCGTCATCTCCTGAGGTCTGCCTTGGTCTGTTGTCTCCAGTTTCGACTTCCTTCTCTTATCTTCAGTCCAACTTCGAAATCAGGAAGTTGATTTAGTGAGTTAAAATGCTGCTTGACGGAGGTTAGTGCTGGAACTATGAAAAAAGTCCGGTTCCTGAAAACGATGAAGGTTTGTCAATAATTGTTTCGACGGTTTGTGACTGGATCCGGGCACCTCTTTGAGTCTCTCAGAGTGTGTACGCGGATTTCATGAGTGACTTTATATTTTCATTGGTGCTTTTTTGATAATTAATCTTTATAAATTTGCAAATGTTTAATACTAAAGCAAGAGCTGTCATGTTTAAGTAGATGAAAATTGAATATTTACTGTTACTAAATTTCTAGCTGAGAAGGTACCCTTTTTTTATTAATGTTTAATAGTCACAAGTTAATTGAACTAATTGGAGGAAGTGAATCTTTGTTTTAATGTTTAAGTGCTATGTTCAATATGATTTATTCTAAATTAGCTTTTATAAATGAGTTTAAACTTCTTGAGTTCCTGTTTAAAATGATTAAGAATTGTGACGTGTTTCCTTATGATTTTTGTATTAGTGGAATAATGTTTAATGTAAGATTGATATGAAAAAAAAAAAAAAAAAAAAAAAAACTATGAGTAACTTTAAAAGATTTTTGTAGGGGTAGTCTGGCCAGCTATCATGAATTATAAGATGTGAATTATTTATTAAATGTGTTTATTACTTTTTATTATTGTATGTTTCTTTGAGGTTGATTGTGGTCTACTGTAGGTCACCCATGTGATCCTTACGGAAACATGGTTATTTTATTCGAACCTGGGTATTTATATTGCGGTAGTAGGAAAAAAAATCAGTTTTAAGAGTTGGTGACTATAAGATCAGTTTACTGAATTTATTTTGATTTAATGAGTAGACTTCTTAATTGTGAGATCGTATCTTTCCCTGGTGTTTTGAAGAGATCTGTGTGGTATTTGAAATGTTAAGGGTTTAAGGCTATCTCTAGATTTTGTATTGAAATTTATGTGTTTTCAGGTTGGAGATCTAAATTAGTTTTAATTTAGTGAGAGATAGCGTGTTAAAGATTTTGTGGTGGAAGTGCATTTTGAATTTTGTTTTTGTCAAATAATCGTGATTCTACCAAAATACGAGGGAGGATGGATATCTTTCTTTGATGTCTCTTAGATTTAAAACTTTTGATTATGTAAGTACTGAGTTGAGTTTTAGATTAATGTTGTTTTTTTTTTTTTTTTTTTTTTTTTTTTTTGTCGCGACACCAGTTTAGTCAGTTTTAAAGAGTTAAAAGTTAAGTGTAAAAGAAAAATTTTTTTCCTACGTAACAGTTTTACAAAAGGCATTTTTTTTCTGAGGTAGTTATCCTTCTTGCATCCTATGCATTGATTTGATTGTTTTACTTTCGGGCAACCATAAAACCAGTCTTATGAAATCGCATATAGTCATTTGAAGGAAGTTTCCATGTAATTAAATTTTGTTCTGTTTCTGCTTGTTGAATATTTGATGTAATCTTGTTCCACTTATTCATCTTTTAAATCATCGTTAGATTGTATACTATAGATAGGTGATGAGACAAAAAATCTTAAAACATTTTGTCTTGAAACTGCTGTAGTAGAATGTAATTTCCAGTAGAATGTATTTCTGCCAAAATTTTATTTAAATCTTGGTATTAAAGTTGAAGTGATATTTTCATCATTTTGTATAAAGTCATCAAATCATGTGGACTGACAAATTCCAGCTCAGAATTCATTAGATTATAAAGTCTATTTTGGTTTTACAGAGTGTACCAAATTCCAAACAGTATTATTGATAACATAATTATGTAATGGTCTTATTCTTTTAACCAGATTTCAAGTCCTACATACCTACTAGTATTTTCTAATAGTAGGCTTTAAAATGTGGATGAGGCTCGGTCAGGGTGGTCTCATTCGTATTAACATTTCATTTGAATTCCTTTATAAACGTGGATATAAATTCAAGGTGTTTCAAAAAGAATCATCCAAATTGGAATGGATATATTATGAAAATTATTAAAAATAGAAACTTAAGTTTAATTTTATAATAAATGACTAATCATAACGTTTTTTACAGACCAAATTAAATGTGCTTAATTAAAGGTTTCTGTGGACTACATGCAAAATTCTGTTGAATGGTGCTCCATACTTTTGTCCAATATGTGGACATGGCCAGGCGATTTCTTTTTACATAGACAACCATATTGGAATTTTTTATACTTAATACTCTAAGCAGTAGGTTGGTGAACACTAGGGTATTGTTGAAAATCACATTGAACAGTTGTTAACAGACTTGCACTTTCTGAAGCATTGAACACAAAACAATTTATTATGTAGTCACCTTCTCGACAGATGCTAAAGTGGCAGATGAAGCAAAAGCACTACCTGTTGCCAACTGCAGGAAATTTAAAATTTCTCATTTTCTACCTACATTATTTTGTCAAAATATATTGATCCTTGATATGGATATCAGTGATATGGACGTAAAATTTCGTATAGAAGGATGGCTTTTTATTTATTTATTTGACATGAAAATTTCTGCCGGCTTTTAATATATCCAATTTTAGGTTGGATGTATATTGGACGAAAAGGAATCAAGGTACAAAATGAAAGCGTCATTTTTTAATCATAATGAAGAAAATACTATTTATTCATGACATTTTGAGGAACTTTCAGGGCTAGACCTGTAATGTTCAGGGGGTGAAGAGTT